TCTCTCTCTCTCTCTCTCTCTCTCTCTCTCTCTCTCTCCGTGTCGCTCACTGTTTTTCCGTTTTTTTTTTATTTTATATAAAAATCCCCCAATGGTCCACGGGTCAGATATCAAAGTGATCGGAACAGATACTACACTTGATCGCCATTGTCGTCGTCGTTTTGGGGGTGGGGGACACTTGATCGTCATCGTAGTCATCGTTTTGGGGGGCGGGGTAGTTAGTTATTTTGGGGTCTCCCTCTCTCTCTCTGTGGTGGGCGCGCACGTCCGCGCGCCGTTTTTCAAACTGATCGGAACAGATACCTCACTTGATCGTCATCGTCTCGTCGTTTTTGGGTACGGGTTAGTTAGTTTGGGGTCTCTCTCTCTCTCTCTGTGTGATTGGAACATATACTACACTTGATCGTCGTTATCGTTTTGGGGGGCGGGGTAGTTAGTTAGGTTCGGGTCTCTCTTTCTCTCTCTCTCTCTCTCTCTCTCTTTCTCTCTCTCTCTGAGGGAAAGCAGAAGGGGAGACGGGCAGCAGAGGAGCGGAGAGTGGCAGAGATCGCAGGACACGCGGAGTAGGAGCGGTGTAGAGCGGAGGAGGGGCGGCGGAAGTCAGGGAGAGAGGGCGGAGGAAGCAGGGAGAAGTGTACTGACCCGACCGGCGTTCAGTCGTCGTTGATGCAGAACTCCACAAACCACGGCCAACCACAGGCGAACGAGAGAGAGAGAGCCACAGCTTACAGCACCAACGGCCAACCACAGGAGAGAGAGAGAGAGAGAGAGAGAGAGAGAGAGAGAGAGAGAGAGAGAGAGCTTCACGACAGGGCGCTTCACAACCGGGCGCACGGCGCGCTTCACGACAACAGGAGAAGCACGACAACACCGAATACAACGGACCGAGGGCGCTGCACGACAACGGCCAGTCCAACGGGAGTTCCCCACGGCACTCGGCACGTCTATCTGAGCCGTCGGTCCGGACCGACGGTCTGGATCTCGGCGTGGTCCTAAGATCTTAAGACCGCATCTATCCAGGCCGTCGGTCTGGTAGGACCCGACGGCCCAGATTGCAGATTTGTTACATGGTTCGGTCGATCTGGGCCGTGGGCTGGTAGGACCGATGACGGCCTGGATTTCAGATTTGTCACGTTAGCGATTTTAATAGTGTAGGGAAATTATAATAATGATGTTGAATGGCTGAACCAGAATCAATGTCGAATCCCTCTTCTACTGCAGGCACCACATGAGGTCCACCATAGCCACGGCCACTCTTCCTTCCTTCTCGAAGGCCAAGGCTACCGGGGCCCTGCACTGCTGTGCAAAGGACAACACAAAGCAGCTATGCCCGCTGCTACTCAGGCTGCCATGCCTGACTCTGCCTCGGAGCTTCTTGGTGCGGCGTAACCCCACTGGGGCCTTCCTGATGCAGGGCCTAACAAGGTGGTGAAGATGGTGGCCACCATAGCCAGGTAGTCACCTCGCCTCTCTCCCTCCTAGTCTCCCTCTCCTTCCTTCTCTTACCAGTAGAGCTCCACCATAGCCGCGGTGGAAGCTCCCGGCCTCCTTCCTCCTAGTGCTACTCTGCCCAGAGCTCCTCCCTGCTGCAGCGCTCAGAAGGCTGGTGCGTGCGCAAGCAGCACCACGTCCAAACTTGCATACCGCAAATGAGGAGGAGCTACTCGCTCCTCCTGGAGAGATAGCGGCCTACTTGCCTCTTGGGCAGTGACTTCCAGGCCGCGCGGCCTCCAAGCAACCAGTACCTCCTCCTTTTCGGAGGGAAACATCATTGCAGGCTCTGATATTGTCCGTACAGGCCCTAGACTCAGGCTACTTGGACTGGTACCGGCCTACCTCTAGCCACCGGGCCTCTAAAAATGCCAGCTTTTTGTCTTCTTCTGGTGTGCCTTGAGTACTCGACACTTCTTCCACTACTTGAGTGGTACCGGCCTATCTGCTACTTGAGTGTTTTTCCTGCTGTAAGTGTCGCGGGCCTACCCCCGCTACTTGAGTGTTTTTTTTCCCGCTGCAACCCTCTAAGTCACAGCCACACGTAAGTACCGGCCCTACAGGGCCTCCCAAGCAAGCAAGTACCCTTGCGGGTCACACACACACGCAGGCCGACAAGCACTCAGACAGGCACGCAGACCATCAAGCATGCACACACACACATACTTAGAAAACTCAGCAGAATGTGGGAATCTCAGCAAGGCGGCAGAACCCAGAAGTCAGCAGTGTTCTCAGTCTGTGTTTTGGTGGGTCATTACAATGTCCTTTTTATTTGTTTAGGCAAAATCATTTTTGGTTCACCAAACACTTAATCCAATGCCGTTGAAGATACTCCCAAGT